AAGGGCAGAAAGTAAAAGATATTAAATTTGAAAGCGATTCAATAATAGATCAGGAGTCAGAAATTGAGACTGGAACAGCAACTCAAACCGAGGAGTTTGTGTACCCTTTTCGTCCAACCTACAGGGGACCCTCCACCCCTATACCCCTTTGAGAAACTCAGTCACGTAATAATGTTTGGCCTTTTCACGCATCACAAGTAATGTCCACAACTCTGTCACGTTCACGCGAAATTCAAGATACTCACGTTGAATTAATACTTTACTTTTTCTATTCTTACCGAACAGTCTTACGCGATAAAATGTAATGTCTTATCTTGTCCAAGAACCATTAGTGGTTCTTTTTATTACTTTTATTGATGAGTATTAAGTCCATCCCGGGTCAAAAGCTCACCAGAGCCGTTCTAGAACAATACGTAAATTTTCATAACAATATCATTGCTGGAAATTTATCATGCAGAACAAAATTGTTCCCGAATCACGTTTAATTCAGCTTCTAATTCACGGGTCATTAAAAAGATGCGTTCAAACAGACATGAAAAGATCTTTTTATTTCTAATCACGGTTCACGAATAAAAATCGCCCAATCATGCTTCGAGTAAAAAGTATAGGGGACTTGCTTAATTAAGTGCCCACAAATCCGCAGGTTATGTAAATTATGAAATAATCGAAGATGGATCTTATCATGATGTACATTGAAGAAGGTACGCATATTCCTTAAAGACATAAATTGCTATATCAGCTTACGGCATTCTTGTTCGTTGCATGCAAGTGTCTTTTCAGCCGGTCCCAGTTCACTGCAGTCCTTTCCACCATTAGACGGCGGAGGATTGGTACAGGTTCTTGTAAGTGTCATTACTCCTCCTCCACACGTCACACTGCACTCAGACTCCTTCCACTCGGTGTACTTGCCGTCAATTGCTAAACCACCAAAACGAAAAAATGTTCACTCGTCTGCACAACTTGTTGTAACCATGAAATCAGTAAATTGGTTTTAGAATCAAAGTCAACAGAATCATTTTATCATATAAACTACGGTGTTATACAAGGATTACGAAATGATCGTTGCAGCCTAATAACAAGGAATTTGTAAACCTAATGTAGACCGATGTTTATAAGTCCGTTCCAATAATACCGTATGTACTTATTATGCTCTCTTATTTTCAGCTTAACCGTGATAAGTTAAAAGTTAAACTTACCACAGTAAACTTCTAACACTTCGTCTAAATTTTCGCTTAGTTTTTTATAGCTCGGGAACAAAAGAACTCTGCCTTTTTCACCAGCAATCTCTGCCATTTTCTTCTCTTGCCTTGCCACATTTTTGCCAACCCCAACATCGACAACGAAAACATCTTTAGCCTAATACAAAACAGACAGGCTCAGAGTTAGTTGGGCAGTTAGTTAGTTTGATATGTAGGTTACTTAAGGTCTTATCGTGAAAATGAGTGCAAGATAACCTTAGAAAATTTTTTTAAAAAAATTAATTCTTCACCTCTCTACCAAATGTACTAGAAGGCTAACTAACTTCAGGACCTAGTTTGACCAAGAATAATAAAGTCGCGGAATTTACATGATTAACTTTAGTGAAAAATGGCACGACTTCACGACTGCTTAGCTGACATTGATACTTGGATGACCTTAAA